TATATATATATATATATATATATATATATATATATATATATATATATAAAATTTTCTATTGACAATATATACTCTATTATGTAATAATCTTAGGCCACTGGTTGCAACACGATTTAACCGCAGAACACAATGACAGAAACTACTACCAGGACGCTCTGAAGAGCTCCTTTCTTCCGTACAATTCCGCTCTCTTACTTAGCCCCTGCACATTAGAAGTTTTCAAGAAAGCAATGCTCGCGTTCTCCAGTCTCTCATGAATCTTATCAGATTGGTCGTTCGAAACGGAAAATTCACGCACGATCGTTAGAATAGTTCGAACTGAACTATCATGGCAACTTCCACTCGTTCAGAGCTTAATCTTCCTTCTCCGAGATACACGGATTTAAAGTATCGTTTAGAGGTTCTCACGGTATCTTCCCTGAGAATGTCGTGCACGATAACGCGCGAAGTTCTTATCGCGCTGTCCGCCTGAGAAACATCGACTCCGTTGATAAATCACTACCCGTCGATACGATAATAATCACTCTGATAACAAGTCGCTATTATTCTATTAACATCGAACTACTACTAACTTTTAGGAGTAAGATTCGGGAAGCTATCGCTTGAGTTCCAACAACAACACGATCGGGCAGGCAGCGTCGAGGGCAGTAGAGTCTACGTAGGAGCTGGTCCACGACAAGGTCGAGATCTATATCTCTTTGGGCTGGTCGACGTCGAAGCCGAGCTTGGACCAGTCCTCGCGAGCCATCAGGTTGTGGTCCATACGGCAACTGAGGTACTCCTTAGCGATGCCGCGGCACGATGAATTCCGATTTTGGTGTTCCATCAAGCAACGCATATAATTGATCATAATGCGCTTACAGATACCTTCGTGATCCAACGGGAAGCTGCCGCGCTCGGGTGGCGTCGGCCTGAACAGTTTCTGCGAGAACGTGTACGAGGACATATCACTCCACGGTCGGGTGGGTTCACATGCGATATCTACGGAAGGCGAGTCGACATACATCGACGATCTTCACGAACCTTCTTACCCTTAGCAGCGTAGCGCGATCGACGCCATGTTTGATACTCCAGATATCCCGAGCAGCGTTACCAATCCCCGCGATAACGGGGATTCCAAATGGCACGCGCAATCATTCGGATCTTTAGAAAGTGAACCGCCCCGTTGAAGCATCTAGTGGAGTATCCATAAAGGGTGTGTGTTTAGGAAGAAACTATTAGCGCAAACGCTACCGCCGTTCTCTCGGGGCCAATAGTGCGAAAGCAATAGAAAGCTCCACGAATGGTGGCATTAGTGTAACGTTAAACCCGTATCAGACTACGGATTGGAGATTAAATTGAATTTAATCAATCGGTATAAAGTTAAATAAACTCAGTTTAGTGAAATCTAATGAATTCTACAATGATTGGTTAAATTTCAATTCAATCTGATACGGACTTTAGCATTTGGTCTGTTCTTTTTAGCTGAACTGCTACAAACTGGTGCAATAAGTAGTAGTATTGCATATATGTTTCTAATTCTTTTTTTTTCTTCAACGATAGTCCGCCATATTCTTAAGTCTATTCTACAATACGTCGTATGTGGGAGTCGGATCGCAGCCAATGGTCCAATGAGGAAAATTCTTCCTCCAAGATATTAATTCTCTCATTGGACCATCGACTGCGTCCCTACTCCGACGCACGGTGTATTGTAGAACAGGCCTTAACGCATGCGTAAATTAAACCCTCAATTTTCTAGCATTGTAATCGTACAGAGTTAGACTGTGCCATGGTGTAGCCGCGTTTCGAATGAGCAGGTATCTGCAAACTCGTGGACGGTTAACGGAGGTTATGAGAAACTCGGCGGTGCTTTTGAGCGCGCGAAAATGATAGCACGCATTCGTAATTCGAATCTCTTGCATATTATCACCGCATTAATTCTCTGCGTGGAATGTTTGCACACCTCTGTGGCAGTGGAAGCCGAGATTGGGCTCGACGTGGAAGGGGATGGGTTTCATAGGTTAAAAATCGCGTCAGCTGTGAACGACAACAACAAACCTGTTTATACAACTTTTCTAACGCTCTTCCCTTTTGCAGAATGTTGGTGTATCGTGTGTTTTTTAAGAATCTCCTCAATGACGATTGTCGAGCCGCGATATATCAGAAATTACCTTCTACTCTGTATGTCAATGTCGACGAAATAGCAGAATTGACGAGACGAGGAAAGGTATGTATTTTTTAATCATTTTAATTACTTTTTCCTAGTCACTTTAAGATATAATTTATTAATTTGTATAATGGAAACGAAGATTGTAATTGAGAATTTTTATTTTGTATGTCATAGCTTTCGAATTATTCTGTTACTTAACTGATTCTTGGTCTTCATTATTTGTAGTATTAATTAATTAATAATGATAACATTCCAGAATGCAGTATGCTCTATGGGTGAAACCAACGTCGAGTTATTCGCGGAGAAGTCAGGACAGCAGAATGTGACAACATGTGGATCTGTGGTTTCATCGTCCAGTTGCGTCTTGATAATTCCTGTCCATCAACGTTATCAGTATGCTCGAAAGACTGGAGGCTATGTCAACGTGACTCTGCCAATGCCAAGGTTGCTGCTGGGATGCCAAGAGAGGCTCAAGGACCATAGAGTGTCCAAGATCAATCTTTGTGAACCGTGCGTTGACTTGGCAACAAAATGGCGAGAAATTCCGTATACCGTATTGAACGGCGGTGATTACGAGTGGTCGGTACCAGTCGGCAACTCGTCTCTCTTAACGTTCGTCATCTATGTGACTTTGTTGTTCACCGTTGTTAGCGCGATATTTATTGCGAGCGCCATTCACGTCAATGCCTCGAAAAATCGTCAAAAGGAAGACTGAGCCAACACCTTAAGCACTCACAGGGAACTCTCAGGGACCAATGGAGATTCTGTAATTATAGATATTCGTTGGAACTGGGATTTTAATCACTTCTAAACGAAACATCTTTCGTTTAAGTCATTTTCTAAATTTAAATAGTTTTTATGCATTTATAAATACTATTTCGAGAAGCCGAATTAAACATAGGTCGTTAAGGGAACAGGTGCAATTTCAGATCGTCGATTACATTATTCCTGTCGAACTCATCTCTTTAACTTAATTCTATTTATTTTTAAATTGTATTTCCATTGCTGCAAAGTCCATTCGGTTGATTGTGAAAAAAGAAGAAAGTTAGTCTCTCTCGTTAATCTCGCGAACATTCTTAAACGAAGACAACTCTGATTGGCAAATGTATGTGCGCACGATTGTACAGTTTCTCACGTTTGCGGTATGTACCCGCGGTACAGCTAGTCGTGTTAATTTATAAGAAATATAAATACTTAAGAACACTTATATGTACGCACTCTCGGAACGGAGCCTTTCAGAGGCTACTACATATGACTCATACATATGTAATATCCATATAACACACACACACACACATACAAATATATATACGGAACAAACACGACACCCATAGCTTAGAGAATGAATGATAAGGAGTAGGGGAATGTCATCGAACAAAAATGGATTTTTTGTCGATCGTCATGAAATTTTCTCAATGTTCCTTAGCTCTTTTATCGTCGCGATAAAGCTCGTCGGCGCCTTTGATACATTGTCCAAGGCGCTGTCTCGCCTATTCTTCATTGCGTCTTTCCACGCTGCATTTTGCTCGAGCCGAATAAAATAAAGATCAGATTGGCTACTAGATATAAGCCGGCCGACAGGAAGAACATGTTGCGCCATTGCATGATATCATTCTAAATAGCGGAGAGAGCGATAATGAGATAAACAGTAAATTTAAGCATTGCATTTAAGCGTAACAGTTAAACGCGATCTACAATGGGTAGCATGATTATCAGAAGTAAGAGTAAGAAATTAACCATAGTCGATTATTCTCCTTACATTTGAGTATGGTTGGTCAATTTTTTATTCTTATGAATAGACTCCTACTGCCTATTGTAGACTAGGCTAAAAGCTTATTACGCCTATTGTGGATCTTTCAGCTTTCGACATTAGGCGAAATTGAAATTTCGCCCGTGTCCGTGAGATTCACTTTTTGAATCTGGAAAACACATGATTCATGTATGACGGGATCAGCAGCATCCAGAATCCCCAGTTGTGGATGCACTGCGTCACCGGTAGTGTCCAGACTCTCGGAGACTCGTCAGCATCGGTATCCAGGAAGTGAGCGGTTTCTGAAAGCGAAAGGAATGTCGTGTGGACAGGTAAATTTATTCCTGCGTTTGATATTTCTTCCTTTTTTTTTTGAGCTATTATATACGTTTAAGTATTTTATTTAAAATTCTTTCCTTTTTCTTTATAATTTGTTTTTCATTCGCTCTACGCTCATATTAGGTACTGTTATCTAAAAATTTTCTACTCGCACCATTAATAATTTTAAGCAACGTTTTTTTCCCATTTCATTATTCGCAACTTTGTTTATATCTTAAATTTTTTTATTTTATTTTTTTTTGCACAGATCAAAGCGATATTTTGCATTTCGCATATATATTTGAAAATTTGCCGTCGAATCGGTAATCTAGTAGCAAGTCCAGCCAATGCGTGAAACTGTTATTCATTTTTCCTCGAATGTATCCACGAATAATTTGTCGCAAGGCCACAGGTGATGTTTCTCTACTATTCTCACTGTCGACTCGGACGATTCGCGTAGCACATCAAAACATAGCTAATTCAAATTTTTAATCTACCAATGACAACTGGCTTTCGGAACTATCGAACATTACTTTCTCTTATTACAACCGATACACTGAAATTGAGATATATAGTTGCTCACGGTAGTGCTCTCTATACAGCACAATTAACTAAATATATCTATTGAACAAGAAAGTAACAAGAATATATATTGTTATTTGTTATTTAGAATTTTCATTTGAAAACAAAAAGTTTGACACAGCGTCCATAACAAATTAGGAAGCTCCAGAAATGTCAATATGAGAAAGCGACACTGCCGTTCAATTTTAGAATTTCGACATCTCAGTATTTGTTGGTAAGAATGGATAACACAATAACAACTGATCAATAGTAAGTAATATAAGTTTCTGGGAGTCGGTAAGTTATCAGTGTAGATGAGTTTCCGGGAGTCGGTAAGCTATCAGGGTGGATAGGTTTCCGAAGATTGGCAAGTTACCAAGATTGATAAGTTTTCGGGGGTCAGTGCCAGGGTGGATAATTTCGGGAATAAGTAAGTTTCAAGGGGCGATAAGTTTCTTTATTGTGCATCGCGCATATAAAGTTGAAGAAGAATTACAATTTTTTTTTTTGATAGATTCAAGTAAAGGTTGTTACCTCATATTTACCCATTATATATGAACCATACTGTATTCTCGAAGAAATAAATGTCAATGTGGGTTTTTATCTTCATTACGAAGGGTCTGAATGTCCTGTGTAATCTCATAAATCTCAAGTGGCTTCGCATCAAGAATTGCAAAAATATCGAGGACTGGGCCTTGAACAAAATATCAGCAGAGCTTCCAGGGTTATTAGACATTTCAGACTGTGAGAAAATCACTGAGAGAGGATTGGAGGCACTGTAGAGAATGTTCAATCAGAAGAAATTGATTGTTACAAATTGCAACAAATCTGCTGCATCAGAGCTAACTTGTATGATGTTAGAAGATTGTATGTCTGGCTTGACTTGTGGAAATCTATGGATATATAAAAAAAGTAATGTTAATTGAGAGTTATTTTTAGCAAGATTACAATTTGCAGTAAATATTTCACAGAAAGACTCATTTCTATTTATATGCATTATGTACTATTTGTATAATTTCAACTATGCTGTAAATCAACTGTCATTACTTGAATATTAAAGTAAATAAAACATTAGGTAGTAAAAAGTAACACAAGTAGGTAGTAAAAGTAAATTGTTTCAAGATATTAACTTCTTTTCAATTTATTTTACAGTTGATGTTTCTTTATAAAATGTAACTTAGCTGAATTTATAATACCATGTATCGTATCATTTTCTTTGTTACAAAGAAGTTTAATATGTTCTAAACAAAGATGATATTTCACTCAAATGTGCTTGCAATTTATTACCTTCTGGACGTTTTCTCTTACAAAGATAAACACATGTGTCGCTCCACAGTCTTCTTGAAAGACGTTAAGCTCATTCTCTTTACGATTATTCAAAAAGCGTGCATACCTCCTGTTCAATATTCGGATAACGGTCAATACTTTCGGTCGAATCATCGTCGAAAAAGAAGCGCCGTTGATATCAATAGTACGAGGGTGGTCTCAGAAGTACCCGACCCAACAAAGAAAACACAAAAATTTTGGGAAAAAATGTATTTATTTTTCAACATAATCTCCTTTCAGCTCTATACACTTTTCCCAGCGATGTTCAATAAGTTCGATACCCTTTTTATAATAAGAATTGTCTTGCTCCTCAAAATAGCCATTAACTGCCGACATCACTTCTTCTTTTGTCTCGGGTGTGAAGTAATGGACCCATGTTTCATCCATGGTTATGAAACGGCGCAAAAATTCTGCTTTGTTGCTGTGAAACTTTGCTAAACACTCAATTGAAACATCTTCACGACACTGTTTTTGCTCGAGTGTGAGCAAACGCGGCACCCATCTTGCACACAGCTTTCTCATGTCCAAATTTTCAGATAATATGCGATGTACCGCACTTTTTAAAATGCCTACTATGTCTACTAGCTCGCGCACTTTCAGTCGACGATCATCCAGTACCACTTTGTGGATTTTCTTCACCATTTCTGGAGTCGTCACCTCATTTGGTCGACCACTGCGATGCTCGTCTTGGCAGCTCGTACGGCCTCGTTTAAACTCTGCTACCCAATATTTTACTATTGTAAACGAAGGAGCAGACTCACCCAGAGTAGAATCCAGTTCAGCTTTTATATTGGTTGGGCTGAGGCCTTTCAAATAAAAGTATTGTATCACATAACGATGACCAATTTTCTCCATTTTCACAAATTCACTGAAAACGTTTACTATTGATGGCTGCCAAACAAATACTAAACAACGTGGCGTCTTCAAACTTGAAACATATGCTTTATAGATTGTGTACTTTCTAATACAGTGATATTTTTCAAACAACTACCGCCATCTCTAGGTCAGGTCGGGTACTTCAGGGACCACCCTCGTATGGCAGGAGGGTTTGGAATTTAAAATGCATAGAGATTTGCCAAGGCAATGCTTCAAGATACTCAGGTCGTATATTAAAGGAAGATGTTTCAGAGTGCGTCAAGGTAAAGAGCACTCGGATCTAAAACAAATTGCAGCAGGAGTGGCACAGAGAAGTGTCCGTGGCCCTATGCTTTACTTATTGTACACCAGAGACATTTCTCGTAACAGACAAACACTGTTGGCTACATTTGCTGATGACACTGCAGTATTGGCAGTTGATGATAAAATAAATAACGCGACAGGCAAACTACAAAATGCATTGAATGAAATAAACGAGTAAACTAAGCAATGGCATATTAAACTAAATGAGCAAAAATCTAATCACATTATTTTACATATAGGAAAATAAAACAGTCCAATTCTAATTAATAAAAAAATCATATCATACGCTAATATGGCCAAATATCTAGGCATGACCCTGGAGGCAAAATTAAAATGGAAGGAACATGTGAAAAAGAAAAAAAAAAGATCTCAATATTAAATATAGGAAAATATATTGGCTTTTTGGATGATATTCCGTATTGTCAACACAAAACAAATTACTGATATACAATCAGATATTCAAACCAGTTTGGTTGTATGGCATCCAATTATGGGGCTGTACAAAAATGTCTAACATAAGAATAATACAAACTTTTCAGAATAAAGTATTACGTGAAATAATCAGTGCACCATGATATATACGAAACCATGATCTACACCGTGATCTGCACATGAATACGGTTGGAGAGGAGTTAGAGAAAAACGCGACCAAGCATAATCAGCGTCTTCTAGTACATGAAAACATTGAAATTGAATCAATACTTCCTACCTATGATTTACGCAGGCTTAAGAGGACAAAGTCTTACGAACTTTTAGAGATAGCTTAAGTTAAGAATAATCGTTAAGGATTCTTATCGGCTGATAAGTCTCCTTTCAAGTGTATCAATTTGACAGACAAGTCATTAGACAATCATGCATGGATTGGTTATGGTTAGCTACTATATGCATGGATTGGTATTAGTTAGCTATTATAAAAAAAAAAACTGTTTGCAAATATCCAGCATTTATATCTATCTGGAATTAAAATATTAACATATGTACAATGTGATAATCATGATACATGGTCGTGTATCGAGCCAGGTGCGACTGTATATATTTACGCCATGACATGAGTTCAACGCAAACAAGATTTCTCGTTCGACTATAACGGCTAAACTGATGAAGTTTTGGATAGGTTTCATCGATTCCTTGGGTAACATTACTTCATGAAAATGTTCTTACTTTTGCTCTATGTTGTTTAGAAACTGAATTATTTTAGTTTAGTCTGAAGTCGTGAATTTTCACATAAGAAACGTTTGCTCATCAGAAAATGTCTGCTATTTCATTATTTTCTATTAGTTTACTATTAGGTTGGAGAAAAAGAAATCCATTATTTTTACGTGAACTTCAAGACTTTATTTAACATGTTTCGGATTGTCCGATTTGGGTCAAATATGCACCGTTTTGTTTTATAATTTGTTGCCATTTTAAAGGTAGCTTCATAATGCCTCTCTCATAGAAGTCTTGGTCCCTATTGGCGAAAAACTCTAGTAATCGATTTTCACAATCTTCTCTTGATGCCAATTTCTTATCACTAAGGAAGTTTTGCAATGCAAGAAAAACATGGTAATCGCTTGGTGCCGGACTATATGGTGGATGCATCAAAACTTCCCAACCAAGCTCCCGGAGTTTCTGGCGAGTCACTATAGACATGTGTGGCCTGGCGTTGTCCCGATGGAATACAACACCTCTCCTGTTGGCCAATTCTGGCCGTTTCTGGTCAATTGCTAGCTTCAAACGGTCTAGTTGTTGACAGTAGAGATCCGAATTTAGTGTTTGGCCATATGGAAGCAACTCATAATAAATGATTCCTTTCCAGTCCCACCAAATGTACAGCAAAACCTTCCTGGCCGTTAGTTCTGGTTTGGCCACCGTTTGAGCTGCTTCACCGCGCTTTGACTATGATCGTTTTCGCACAATGTTGTCGTATGTGACACATTTCTCATCCCCAGTCACCATCCGTTTAAGAAATGGGTCGATTTCATTCCGTTTGGCCAAGGCTTCGCAGATGGAAATTCGATCCATCATGTTTCTATGTGTTAATTGGTGTGGCACCCAAACATCGAGCTTCTTTTTGAATCCAGCTTTGTGCAAATAGTTGAAAACTGTTTTAAGGTCGATCTTTAGCTCCTGGGCGATGCTACGACTGCTAACATGCCGGTTGATTATTTCTGTGATTTTATCGACATTTTCAACGACGGGCCTACCTGTGCATCTTTAACATCAAAAATATCTGAACAGAATCGACGAAACCAAAATTGCACGTAATTGGCTGTTACAGTATCGGCACCATAAACACCATTCACAATTACAGCCGCCTGGCTTGCATTTTCGCCTTTATCAAAGAAACACTGTAAAATGTACCGAATTTTCTCTTTGTTGACTTCCATTTTTAACACTCTGTAACTCACACCTGAATGGACCAAACAAAAAACAACAAAAGAATTTTTTTAGTGCGAAATGTCACCTTTCCAACGAGCATAAATCTGAAATTGTTTGATCGATACTTTACGAGATATCGATCCACTACAGCCATCTACCGAAAAAATAATGGATTTCTTTATATCCTAATATTTTTTCCGCTAGATAGCTCCATGGCTCAGATCTAAACAAGTCAGATCATCGTTTGATCGGATCGTCATGTAATCCATGTGATCAAGTTTACGTAGATTAATTGAAACACACGTTCGTGTCTTAAGCTATTGGGCCGATCTTTTGCATCTGTCAAAACTTGCTACGTTTTGTCCCCGAAACCCTTTTTAGTCTCAATAAGGCCCAAATCTATTTTTTGAATTGTATCTAATCATTATTTTTTGATTGTTTTATGTTTAGAACAGTTTCTCTCGCTAATCATGTTGATAAGATTTTCTTTCCGTGCTCAGTTTAAGCCTTATCAAACTCAAAGTGTTAAATCAGATTCTGGTGAGTTTTTCTAAATTCAGATTCAGAATAATATATTGCCTATGGGACATTCTTTTACAAACCGAACATCTTTCTGACCGACACATTTTTAATTTAGCTAAAACTTTTTTTACGTGTTCTATATGACAAAAAAATATATACCTATTCGAGGATTTTTTTTTGTTTCATTTTTTTGGAAAATAGAAAGGATGTAAAATTTGAGAATTTGGTGATGTTTGGCTTGAAGTATATTTTTAAAAAATTCATAACTCTGGTTTTATTTAAGCTACAGATTTTATTTTTTTTTATTTTGAAGGTAAAAGAACGAGCTTTAATAAAAAAGTACTTGAAAAAAAATTATTAACAAATTCAAATGGTTATAAACAATTAAAATGTTTAAATCGATTTTTAACAATTCCCCACCCTCGTATCAAGTTTTTAATATTTCTATCGTGTTCTACGTCAAATTTCCTTTCGAAAACGCTTTTTTAATCGATGGACAAATAATTAT